GAAAGCCGTGGGACAAGTCTGCACCTTCTGTCTGGCTGTAACTCCAATGTGGAGCTGCCATCTATAGATGGTATTAATGGCGCACTGAAGGAGGGAGGCACACACTCTGTTAGCTGAAGTATAAGGGACAAAGTTTTGTGTATTGGACTCTCCCGAGTAGGAAAGGGTGCTGCACTTCTTAGATAAGGTGGCCCTGGGGTGTGATTAAGAGCCCTTCTGTCTTCCCCGGGGTTGCAGGTGATAGCTGAGTGGGCCCATAGCTGTGTGCTCTCACTAGCTCTCAGTGTTCATGAGAAACTGCTGTTATTTATTTGTTTGGTTTTTGAGGTAGGGGTTCTTTGTGTGCCTTGGCTGTCCTAGAACTAGCTCTGTAAATCAGGCTGTCCTTGAACTCACAGATCTACCTGCCTCTGCCTCCTGAGCACTGGTATTAAAGGTGTGTACCACCACACCTGGCTTGTTATGAGTAATTTCTGCAGGCTGCAGCTGTACTGTGTACCCCAGCACCCATTTGGGCTTCTTTCCCTAGCTGCAGAATGTCTGAATAAAGGAGTATGTGACTTTATTCAGTGTCATTACAATCCTGATCTCTGGAGAAGAGAGGAACTAATCACTGGAAAGATAAGGTGGCCTGAGAATCACCCCGTCTTAAGCACTTAGTGGGCACTTAAAAGAGTCTCACTGCTGGTGCTGGATTCCTTCTTTGCTATTACCTGCACTGCACTAAGACACAGGCACTGACAGTGATGTGTTTTGTTATATTGTGTCCCTTAGAAATTAATTCAGGACATGAGGTTTACAGCATGAGTAGTAATTTCTGTCTATTGGAAGTCATGCCATGTGTGGCCTGTTGACAAGCTGTTCTTATGTTCCTCTTTTGTCCTGGTTCTGTGATCAAAGAGAAACAGCTAGTGGCCAGCTTTCCCAGGGTTCTGAGGCAGGACAGGCTGAGGAAGGATGGCTCTAGCAACAGCTTCTGCATAGCCTTTCTTCCTAAAAGGCTGTGCAGTACAATCAGAGGAAGGCTCAGAAAGGTGTGGCTGAAGCCTTTGGGCAAGAACAGGCTGTTGAGGCCTAGAAAGCTCCAAGCAGAGCAGCTACACCTGGAAAAGTCTCACACAAGGATCCTCACTGAATGCTGGGAAAGAACACTTATCCCTGAAGTCTTTCAGCGGTATCAGCCAACCCCCAGACACCATGAAAGAAAGCAGGCATCTAGCAATGGGAGGATAAATCTGCATAGACATTTATACCTTGCACAGGGAGGGGGCATGGATCCTCTCTGAAGGTTCCAGAAGAACCTCTTCCCGTGCTAAATGACAGGCTGCCAGGGCACTCTGACCCTAGGCCAGAAGCTCAGAGCGAACTGTAGACAAGGACTAGTCAAAGTAGACAGTATCTTCCATCTGCTGTGGTATAGGGTTTTGAAGCCTCAAAGTCCATTCTCAGTGATGTACCTCCTCCAACAAGACCACACCTGCTAATCCTTCCCAAACAGTTCAACTAACTGGTGACTAAATATTCAAATATATGAGCCTATATATTATATATGAAGGGGTGCTTCTCATTCTAGCCACTACAGAGCCCTTGTCATGTTTTAGATTGGCTGTTTGGGCCCCATTTGATTGGGAGCAGGAGTAAGAGCGACTGTTATACTACAAGGCTAAGGCCTGGGGCCATGGGGAAATTGCGTATCCATATCTAGACAACAGGGACCTCCATGGATCTATCCTGTCTCCTATATTCCCACTATGGGATGGTTCTGCACAGGGCTGGATCCCAGGTATGTTGTATAGCTCTTGCCTCCCCCCTTTCTCTCAGAGCCTTCTAGGGGCAAGGAAATGGGGACATCTCTGGCTTCAGCCCTCATCCTAGCAACTGGGGACCTGGAGTGTGTATAGCCCCAGCCAAATAGTACACTGCCTCTTTTCCCAAGGGAAAGTAGCCCAGGCTCCTCTTAGAGGGAAGAGAAGGGATACAGGCAGGGATGCCAGACAGCATGCTTGAGCTGACACTGATTAGCAAAGGCTATACCTAGTAACCCAAGGTAGGTGTGCTTGTCTTTTAACAGGACTGACCAGCTGGGAATGTTTACACACAAGGAGTTCGAACAACTGGCCCCTGTACTAGATGGCTTCAGCCTCATGACATATGACTACTCCACATCACAGCAGTGAGTATGGGCTGGTAGGGTACTGTAGGTAACAGTGAGTCTTCAGGAAGATATCTTGGTCTCTCAAGCAGACATATGCCTATGGTCTCTGTAGCTCAGCATAGATGGACGGTCACTTTCTATGCACCTGGATGATGCCAGATGGAATCTGATGGTGTTGTACCTGCCCCATTCTCAGGAGAGGTGATTCTTTGGGAAGTCTCTCCTTGGGTGGAACTTTGTTACCAGTGACAAAGGCATAGTATGTCTGCTACGTCTTTTTTTCCTGGGCCTTGGCCCCAGCTACACTGACCTTTCCTTGCCCAGTATTTTAGACCTGTTCCTATTGCTCTAGGGATGGGCAGGCTATACATTAGTACTCTGTACCATTCAAGACATCTGTGGGTCCCATCAAAAAGTGCTTAGGCCAATTTGCCTATGGTACTTCAATGATATGTTTATGGTTCTACCCCTTTTTAAAAAAAATTGTAATGTGGGCCTGTGGTGGAGGTGCATGCCTTTAGTCCCAGCACTCAGGAGACAGAGACAGACTGATCTCTGCTAGTTTAAGGCCACCCTGGTCTGCCTAGTGAGTTCCAGGACAATCAGGGCTGTTACACAGAGAAACTGTGTCTCAAAAAACAACAAAAAAATGTAATGTGTTTAGTGTCTCATTTTTCTAAGATTTGTTTTGTTATTTTTAACTATATATACATGTGTCTCTTTTTGGGGGTATTATAAGCATGTGTGTGTGTTCTCAAGGAGCCCAGAGGTGTTGGATCTGCTGGAGTTGGAGTTATAGGTACTTACAAGCCTTTGGGTATGGCTTCTGGGAACTGAACTCATGTCCTCTGCAAGAGCAGTATCAGCTCTTAGCTGCTGATTTTTTTTTAATTGGGTCTCATTTTATATCCCAGACTGGTCTCGAACTCACTTTATGCCGAGGTTAGCCTTGTACTTATAGCAGATGTGTGCCACCAGTCAAGCTTCTTCCCAACTGATTTTTTTCTTTTCTTTTTAAAGATAGGTTTTCTCTGTGTGCCCTGGCTGTCCTAGTGCTCACCATTTAGACTGGACTGGCCTTGAGCTCGCAGATCTGCCTGCCTCTGCCTCTTCTGAGTACTGGGGTTAGAGGTGTGTGCCACTATACCTGGCTCTCCAGTTCTTGAGAGGCATTTGCCATAACACAGAAGGAAATGGGCCCAAGTTGATAAGAGGACTGGACAGGAGTCAGACACAGGGCTTCCTGCCAGCTGCTAAGAGTGACCCCATTCTTCATTGAACTTGCAGGCCTGGCCCTAATGCTCCATTGTCATGGATTCGAGCCTGTGTCCAGGTCCTAGACCCCAAGTCACAGTGGCGAAGCAAGATCCTCCTGGGGCTGAACTTCTATGGCATGGATTACGCAGCCTCCAAGGATGCCCGTGAAATTGTCATTGGGCCCAGGTGAGCCCGGGGCCCTCCAGGTCACATTCCAGATGTGGCCAGTCATAGAGGTGTGGGTTTCAATCCCTAGAAAAAGGGAGAAAAGCTGGGACTAAGAAGGTTAGGGTGTAGGTTCTCTTGGACTTTGCAGACTATGGAGTCTGAGATAGTTGAACAGAAAACCTCCGTTCTTTGTTGGACACACACCTCAGGCCTATGAGGGCTAGCTAGCACCTCCCCCACAGTGCTGGCACCATAGCCAAGATCTGCATCCATTGTGCAGTTGTCCTGCCATTGGGGAGAGCGTTGGACATAACTGGCTGGGTTCGACATGGCTTAGTGCATGGTTTCTCTGGGTGGCCCCGTGTCATGTGGACCTGGCCAAGACTGGCTTCTCTTTTTCTGGTCCCATCATTTCCTCCCCTGAGGGTCTCTTCCAACATCTTGGCTCTGTGTTTTTATTAGTGTGAGTCCAAGCATCTCTGTAGTTTTACAGACTTGCTTCTACTTTTTCCCTGTGCTTTTCCTGGATACTTATCTCCCCACTCCCACCAGGCTTCAGAGCGAGCTATTGGGTTTCAGCTGCTTCGGTTTCACCTGTGCTCAGTGTTCATTGAGCTCTCCATGGACTGTGCACTCACACTTTCTTTTTCTCTTTCGAGACAGGGTTTCTCTGCATTGTTTTGGAGGCTGGCCTGGAACTTCCTCTGTAGACCAGGCTAGCCTCAAACTCAGAGATCCACCTGCCTCTGCCTCCCAAGTGCTATGATTTAAGGCCTGTGCCACCATCGCCTAGCCACACTTACACTTTTTACCAGGTTTGGAGAGCATTTGGTAGTTTCTTCTACTCTCTTCCTCCCTCTCCACTCCCTCAGATAAGAATGTATGTGTTGTGTGCTGGCCTGGTTAGATTGCCCCTTGGCTCCTGAGATGTGTTGGACTTCAGATGTTTTTCTTTTGATTGTTTGCTTTCTCTTGCTGTCTTCCCTCTCCACCCCGCTTCTTTTTGTCTCACATCTGTGAGTTTTCTAGTTCTTGTTTTACATTTCTATGGATCCATTTGTGGTGGTGCTCAAGGTCTGCCTTTGTGAATCCTGACTTCTGGGTCAGTACTGGTTGGCCTTCACTGGTGACCTCTCTCACTGAGGGGGTGGGGACTGCTGTGTAGCCTCCTCTGAGGGTGTTAAATGTACTGAACTTCATGACTGAATGCTAGATATTTTAGTATTCTTACAAATCTAGGGTCTTTGTTCTGGGTTCAGCTATCAGCTAGTTGCTTAGAAATCTAACCAGGCATGATAGTGCATATCTTTAATTCCAATACTTGGAAAGCTGAGGCAGGTGGATTTCTGCGAGTTTTTGGGGCAGCATGATCTATGTAGCAAGTTCCAGGCTAGCCAGGGATACGTACTGAGACCCTATTTCAAACAAAGAGAAGACATTTAAATTACCCACTTTCCTAGTAGTTTTCCAGGGAAAATGCTGCCCAGAAACTGGGTGCAGCTTTCCCGGGAGTTTCTTGCAGTTAAGTGGGAAAGTTGGAATACTTCTCTGCCGCCCCTGGTTGTCTGTGTTTTGTGGAGGTACACTCATCAAAGCTGAGACTGCCTCTCATCCAACCCCTCTTCAGTTGGTCTCTCCATGGTGAGGCAATAGGGTGGGCCATGCTCCAAAGCTGTGGATGGGAGTCCTGTCTTCCCTACACACCTGTACGCTTCTGTATCCACACAACTGGTCTCCGCATCAGGGGTTCATCACAGACTTGAGTTCTTCTGGCCCACAGTGCTGCTGGCTGAGGTCTAATAGCAGACAAGGTAGGGCAGGGGTGCTGACTGAGAAGGAACCTGCACATGGGGCCGACAAGGTGGGAAGCTGGTCAAGGCCTTGGTGGCTGGTTACCTGCTATTTTCCAGTAGACTGTTTGGAAGTCAGCCCCTCATAGCTGTGTCCTATGTCTGAAGATGTGTGTGACAGGAACTAGATATGTGTTGCCACACAGGTGAAGACTACTGCTGCTCCACTTCAAACACACATATCTACACAGGCTGTTCTTAGCCTCCTGGCCCATCAGGATTTGCCCATCTAGGAAGGAAGGCACTACCTCTCATTCCTCACCCTGCTAATGGCTCCTGTGAGGCAAGATGAGAGCATGTATGCTCCAACCTGGACATGGGCCTACCCAAGGGAAGCAATTAGGCAAAGAAAGTGCTTTCCTGGGGCTAGGCCTGGCCAGCTGATTGCTTTTGCCAGCCTGCTTGTGCAGAAAGATGCTGCCTGCCCAGCCTCACCTTGCCAGGACTGCAATAGTATAGATGCCTACTCAGCAGGGCCACTTCCCCAAGGCTGGAATAAATAACCAGCCAGACTTACTCACACAGCCATCCTTGTGGCTGCAGAGCAGCCAGAGCACTGGCCCTGCACAACTGACTCCTGCCTCAAGGTGCTTATCAAGGAGCATGTGCCCCTTACCTTGGTTCTGATCTATGGGGCTGACCTGCAGGGAGAGAGCAAGAATGCTCCACGGACCCTGCTGCCCATGGGTAGTTTTATGTTTGGCGACTGCTAGAGCCTTTGCTTGGGAGCTCTCTGGCTCAGGACTCTAAAGTCCCCTGAATGGGCATGCTCCGGCTACTCACTTGTTTCCAGGCTTTCAGATTCACAGAACACCCTTCCTGATCTCTCCTCACCCCCAGTGACATCTCATCCCTTCCTGTGATGCTTCCTATGCTTGCCTCTTACCCCATCTCTTAGAAGCTTCCCCTATGCAACCCCATGATCACGCCTCAGCTGTGTGGTGTCCACTCTTGACTCAGAATTCAGCTTTCTAGGACCACAGGGTGAGTAGGCTTCCTATTTGGGGGTGTCCTGTGGGGTCTTCTCCTTGCAGGGCATGAATCTGGGGATAATCATCCTTATTTCTGGAAGTGCTATGCTTTCAGCTCAGAGCCTCCCCTCACCCTCTGCCTCCCCTTCTGATGTTGGCACCAAGTTTCTGTTTCTTACTGATGTCATGTCAACTGCAATTGGACCTGAGCCTTGGGTAAAGCAAATTGCTGCTCCTAGCCCATACACACTGTTTGCTGTCTGGTGAAATTGTTCCTAGGGTCCCCTCCCAGGCCATGTTGTTCCAAAGTGCAAAGCTCTCATCCTTTTATCCTGTGAGTCTCCTCCCACTGGGGTGTGTGCAAGCAAGGTGGCAAGACAGGAAGAATCCAATACTGTGGCCCTTCTTTGTCCCTGCTGCCAAAATTCACAGAAACCACATGTCCTCTTCTTATCTCATTATCCTTGGTCTTGCTTTGGAGATAGTCATACGCTGTAGCCCAGACTGACCCAGAACTTACTCTGTAGCTTAGGCTGGCTTCTGTCTCAGGACAATCCTCATGCCTCAAGCCTTTGAGCTAGCTCCGGTTCCCAAATCTTATGCTTTCTATTTAGTTTGTTCTCTCAAACTCCAAGCGTCACATGACAACCAGTGTTGGGGTAAAGGGTTCCTTCCCCTCGAGGTCCCCAGGTCTGGGATGGGGGCACCCTGGCTTTTTAAGTGGCTTTCACTGACCAGGATGGCTTCAGAGTGCTGTGGGAAACCAGGGAGTTCCAAGGAAGAGTCTCTCTGCATACAGCCTGAGCCCAGAATTGGTCCTAGGTAGGGGTAGCCAGGTCTACTGTGTGCAAGTGCACTCAGCCCACAGGCCTGCACATGTCCTGTTCTCAATGATGGGTCTCATAAGGGAGCTCTAGTTCCAGCTCTAGCGCTTTCTTGTGTCAGAGCCACCTTTGGTTAGGCGTTGGCCATAGGTGGACAGTCAGTGGTAGCAGCATCGCAGGTTAGGCACCTGTTGGCTTTGCTTGGCATTAGTCTTCACACTCTGAAAGCTGAACCCCACTGAGCATCTCAGCTTTACTTCTGAGGCTGTCAAACCTGCCCTTGCCTGGTACCCCACCAGTGACAGCAGCCATTTGACCCTGAGTGTCAACCTCATTCTTCCTTCTATCTAGGGCCCAACCCTTCCTGCTGCTCACCCACCAAATTCTCTTAGATTTGTGTGTGGGGTCAAGGGGCCTGTCATAAACAGGGCCTCTACAAGGGTTTTCATTGACTTTTCTTCCCAAAGCAGAATTTGTTTCAGGTTGATGGCACAGGGATCATGGGGCCATGGGTCACTGTCTCTTCCCTCTTGTGGTCCAGCCCCTCTGGTAGAGTTGACTCCAGATAAGAGAGGTAGACATGAGACAAGACCCAGCTGCAGTACCTTAGGCCCCAGGCATCTAGGCCCCAGAATCTAGGGGAAGGTGTTAGAGGACATACTGACTAGGGTCTAGCTGCTCCTCAACAACACAGCTTAGCAGGATGCAGCCCCTTCCTGTCAGTCACCATGAGTACCTCTACCAATGCCCCATCAGGGAAGATAATGACCTGGTGTGAGATGCAGGTGAGCTTCTTCAGTTCTTTAGGATTCAGTTGCCCTTTTTGTGAGAATCCAAGCAGGGTCTCAGGATGATCTGCCAGCTTTCCTTAGCCTCTAGCACAAAGCCCTAGTCCTCTCCATGGGAGGCATATAACCATCTGCTCAGGTGTAGATAGAGCCAAGGCCCTGAGATAGAGGTGATTAGCCACCTCACTCAAGCCAGTGGCTGTGGTGTGTTTGCCTCTACCAGCCAGGCAGACCATCTGTGCCCTGTGGTGGGATCCGCAGAGTAGTGCCCCTTTTTGGTGTGACTAGGGCTCCTAGTGAAACTCTGGAATGGCCTGCTCATTGCCTGCCTTTAGAGTTATGGCACGCCTCACAATAGCAGAAACTGAGGTTCAGGGTGCCAGTCTTTGTCCCCTCACTTGGCTGACTGAGAATAGCTAAGCTGATCAAGTGCATGGGCTCTCTTGCACTTACTGGACAGCTATCTCCTCCCTTCTATTCCATGAGCTGTGTCCCCTGGCTCCACCCTGCCTCCAGACCATAGAATCATCCTAGCAATGAGCCATAGTTTACTTGGTGATATGATGAATCAAGGCCAGCTGGCCAGGAAGTGTGTGGGATCCTCCCAGCATGGGCTGTTGATACTCCCAACATGGTGATGCTGTAATTATCCTGTGATACATTTGGAAGTCATCATGGTCCAGGCAGCCTGTCAAATGGGGGGCCAACCTTGGTGCTAATGATCATCTCTACCCTGTGATGCCAGTGCGAGTTCCATTATCAGCATATAACTTTGTGTCCTGTGGTGAGAAGCTACTAACTATGGCAAAGACAGAAACCAGACAAAGATGGGACCTGGCAGCATGGTTCTCATTCCTACCCATCCTGCCTATGCATCTCTCACCTAGAAGGCCCAAGAGAGATCCTGGCCCACCTTCCTGAACCCCTCCTTGCTCAGCTGCCACTGGCTTTGTGCATGTCAACATGTCCAGAACATTCTGACCAAACCTGTTGAGTGAAGCCTTTTCCTTGCCAGCCGCTTTGGTTTTTCCCCCACCAGTCACCTGGGCTCTGCCGCGTTATAGTCCCCAAATAACACACAAGACACTGTATTAATTATGAAGCTGTTGGCCATTTGCTTGATTTCTTACTGGCTATCTCTGACTTAAGTATTCACTCCATAATTGTTATTCTAAGTATTTCTCTTACCGGAGAGAGGGTCCGGACATCTTACTTCTCTGGCGGGCTACATCATGACTCCCTGTGTTTCTCCTACCCAGAGTCCTCCTCAACTCCTAGTCCCACCTATCTTGCTTCCCTATTGGCCAACAATGCTTTATTGACATATACACAGGACTTCCCCATCACAAACCCTCTTACACATGCCTGCTTTTTTGTGTTTAACTTTATGAGTTTATTTTGGGATGGGGAAGCACACATATGCCATGGCACTTGTGTGGAGGTCAGAGAACAACATGCAGAAGTTGGTTCTCTCCTTGCACTGTGTGGGTTCTGGGGATCATGCTCAGTCATCTGGCTTGGTGGCAAGTACCTTTACCCATGAGCCATCTCACTGGCCCTGTTTTGTTTAAGTTAATTTTTTAAATTTACTTTTATTTTATGTGAATTGGTGTTTTGCCTACGTATGTGTCTATGTGAGGGTGTTAGATCTTGGAATTATAGACAGTTGTGAGCTGCCATGTGGATGCTGAAAATTGAACCCAGGTCCTCTAGAACAACAATCAGTGCTCTTAACCACTGAGCCATCTCTCCAGCCCCTTAAATTAATTTTTAATTTGTTTTTATTTTCAATTATATGTATATGAATGCAAGTGTCAAAGATATAAGAGTCCCCTGGAGCTGGAGTTACAGGTTGGTGTGACCCACACAGTGTGGGTGTTGGGAACCGAATTTGGGTTCTCTGCAAGAGCAGAACACTCTGTGCATTCTTAACTGCTGATCCATCATTCCAGCCCCTATTTTTTTGTTTGTTTGTTTGTTTTCACTTCCTGAGACAGGATTTCTCTATGTAACCTTGGCTGGCTGCCCTGGAACTCACTCTGTAGACTAGGCTGACTTCAAACTCAGAGATCCCCAAACTTCTACATCCTGAGTACTGGGATTAAAGGAGTGTGCAACCACCACCTGCTTCCAGCCCCTGTTTTTTAAGTGAATTTTAAAATGTTTTCTTAAATGTATATATTGTATATTGAGCATTTTCCCCTTCTTGTCCTCATCCTCCTTTTCCTCACCCCTTCTGCCTGCTTTTTTAGTCTTGTGACCCCTAGACAGTTTGGCTTCTGCTTGTGTGTGTGTGTGTGTGTGTGTGTGAGAGAGAGAGAGAGAGAGAGAGAGAGAGAGAGAGAGAGAGAGAGAGAGAGAGAGAGAGAGAGAGAGAGAGAGGAGAGAGAGGAGAGAGAAAACATAATACTTCTCTGAGATTGACTTAAACTAAAATGATTATCTCTGATAGCATCCATTCTCCTGCAAATAATGTGACTTCATTCTTCTGTTTGACAGCCCTGGTTTTTAGGAGACCTCTTGAGCAAGTCCAAGAAAAAGGCTTTCTGTCACCTGCCAGCTCTGCATGGTCAGTCTATGACACTGGCCTTGCTCAAGGCCTTTCTGGAGTTGACCCTCAGCTCGGGTGTTATGTGAGGGATACCCTAGGGAAATGATGGGGCTCCCTCTGGACTGAGCTTACAGAATTGGGCCTGGGCAGATCAGGGTAATGGAAATGCCCGACCTCCTGTCCTGTAGGACTGACTCCAGCCTAGCTTTAAAATTTTTGCTTTTGGGTTAAGAGCACTCACTGTTCTTCCAGAGGACCCTGGTTCAATTCCCAGCACCTACATGGCAGCTCACAACTGTCTGTAACTCCAGTTCCAGGGAACCCAACACCCACACACAGACACGCATGCTGATAAAACACTAATGAACATAAAATAAAAATAAAACATAAGAAAAGACCAGGCAATGAGCAGGTGGATCTCTGTGAGTTCAAGGCCAACCTAGTCTACAGAGCTAATTCCAGGATAGCCAAGGCTACACAAACAAACCCTGTCTTGAAAAAACAAAAAGATTTACCTATTTATATTTTAATTAAAAAAACTATTTTGTGTGTGTGGATATTTTGCCTGCTTGTATGTCTGGGCACCACATGCATGCCTGATGCTCACAGAGGCCAGAAAAGAGCACTAGATCTCCTGGAACTGGAATTAAAGACAGTTCTGAGTCGCCATGTGGATTAAACCCTAGTCCTCTAGAAGAGCAGCCAGTGCTCATAACTGCTCATCCGTATCTCCAGCCCCTATGTATGAGTGCTCTGCCTGCATGTGTGTATGTATGTACAGCATGTACATGCCTGGTGCTCACAGATGTAAGAAAAGAGATCCAAGCCGGGCGTTGGTGGCGCACGCCTTTAATCCCAGCACTCGGGAGGCAGAGGCAGGCGGATCTCTGTGAGTTCGAGGCCAGGCTGGACCGACAGCCTCCAAAAACAGAGAAACCCTGTCTTGTAAAACCAAAAAAAAAAAAAAAGAAAAGAAAAGAGATCCAAGCCGGGCGGTGGTGGCGCACTCCTTTAATCCCAGCACTCGGGAGGCAGAGGCAGGCGGATCTCTGTGAGTTCGAGGCCGGGCTGGACTGGTAGCCTCCAAAACAATACAGAGAAACCCTGTCTGGAAAAAAAAAGAAAAGAAAAGAAAAGAGATCCAAAACTCCTGGAACTAGAATTACAAACAGTTATGAGCTACTGTGTGGGTACCAGGAAGCAATCTTGGGTCCACTGTAAGAGTAGTAAGTGCTCTTAACTGCTGAGCCATCTCTCTAGCCTACCCCCAACATAGCTTTTGTTGGTACTGACCTGGCAGTGTGTCTAGCTGTAGTCAATTCCTAGTGGAATTTTGGGTTTAGTGGGATGTCAGGGATCCATATACCGCTGAACTAGAAAGGACCAGTGCCATGGTGTCAGCTGTGTGGGGTTGAACCTTGTTTTGAGTTATCACTCTAGGCCCTACCATGGAGACTGAGGTCCCACTGTAGATTTGATCTGAGACTAGGAGTTCCTTCCCAGTCTCTGAGCAGTTTGATCCTTGGCCCTGTGTGTTAATCACAGTATCACAGTGGACTCATTAGACTCTAGGCCAGGAAGGCCTGAGAACCTTTTTATTACTGGAAACATGTAAGGCATCCTCTGTCCCTGGTACTCTAAGCTCCTCTGGAAAGTATTTAGGTAGGTTTTCACACAAGGTCCCATCAGTATCCCTGACCCTTTCATCTGAGGCCTTGTGTCATATGCTGTACCCCTCTATTTCAAAGTGTGTAAATAATATATCCACAAAATTGTATAATTCCCTCTAATTCCCAAACATCTCATTACTCCCCAAAGAAGCCTTCTACCCCTTATTAGTCATGCCTTGATCTTCCCAGTTCCTGTTGACCTCCACTCTGGGTCATGTCTCTGAAGATTTGCCTGTTGTTACATGAAAATGGAATAATTTATTGCGTGTTTGAGGCTTTTCTTAGCTTAGGGAAATGCCTAGTCCTTAATTCTCCTTCCTTGAAGTCGGTGTTGCGTCTCTGAACTGGCCCCAACCCCTAGACTCAGGTGATCTTCCTGACTGTAGGCATTCTGGCTTTTTCTGTCTTAAATATTTACTGTACCTTGCTGAAGACTTCAAGTGATGCCCATGGCCAGCTCTGCATGCCATCCTCTGGGCTTGTTTACCTTTTCTGTGCCTCTCCATCCTCTCACAAAGGTTCCTTTATCCTGTCACTGCATGTCTCCTGGCATCCTATTTGCTCAGAAAGCTGTGTGTAATCCTTGCTGTTGTACCTGGAAGCCTGGCCCTCAGATGGAACTTGTCCTTCACATGCTGTTCCTCAGGAGTCACGTAAAGCCCTGGAGGGCTCCAAGCCATGGCCTTGGTTTCTGCTGTTAAGTCTGAGTGTCTGTCTGTCCTGTGCCCATTCTAGGCATTTACAAATTGACTTCTTTTTTTGTTTGTTTTCTCAAGACAGGGTTTCTCTGTGTAACAATCCTGGCTGTTCTGGAACTCGCTCTGTAGACCAGGCTGGCCTTGAACTCACAGAGATCTGCCTGCCTCTGCCTCCCAAGTGCTGGGATTAAAGGTGTGCGCCACCACCTCCTGGCACAGACTGACTTCTGTAACAAGCTTATCATGGGTGAGCCTAGACAGGAGGTGTGCACAGGAGGTGGTGGCACATACCTTGGCTGTTGCCCCCTTTCTTGACAAGTTGGCAGCTACATGTGGTTCCCAGAGCAGTCATGCTTGACTTTTTCTCACACCTTGACCTGACTCTCAATTCTTTGTCCTCAGAACCTGCTTAGAGGAGCAGTTCCTGGGGTTGATGCTGAAAGGAGGCATAGGGTCCTTCTGGTCACATCTGCTTCTGTGGGGTCAAGCACTCGCACACATATATACACACATACACTAGCTGAGAAGGGGGACACAGCTCTCAAAAGTATACTGGCAGAGACCCAGGAGGCTACAGGTCTTGTGAGAGTGACCACAAAAGTCTCCATAAGTAGCAGCGTGTGTGACCACAGACCCAAAGGGCCCCCAGCCCTGTGGGCCTCTGCCCTATGCCCTGCACATCTCAGCTTCTTCCAGAGCCTCAGCTGACCCTGGGTGGAAAGCCACAAACCATACTAGTACCTTCATTGGCATTTGAGTTGGGTGGCCAAGTAGTATTTGGTGATCCTCTTCAGGGAGCTGAGCTCCACAAACCCCTTACTATTTCCTGGGTGCTACCCCTCCTGAATAGTCACCTGCCTTTGATAAGTTTCAGAAGGGACCAGTGAAGACCAGAAAGATATGGTGCTGCATAGAGAGCAAGCTGAGTTTGTCAACAAAGCTAGTGTGGGAATGCAGGCCTGTGATCTTAGCACTCAACAAGAGGGCTGTGAGCCAGAGTCCAGCCTGGGCAACAGAATGAGACTATCTTCAGCAATAAGTGCAGAACCATAGAACCCTAGTGCAGCCAATCGGTTACTGCCATGGGTGGGGTGTCACTGCCCCGCCTTTCCCAGGACTACCGTGCCTTCATTTGCTGTGCCACTGAAGAACCAGCTCAGCTCAGCTGGAGTGATGTCTGAGGGGAAGAGAGGACAACAGTGCTATGGGGAGGTGGAACTGTGACCACAAGCTTGCAAGGCTGAGAGGTGGCTGTGAGCCAGGCTGTCTAGTTAGGGCTATTTGTTTCCTAAGCACCATACCTTGTTCCT